ATGCAAAAAAAAAAAAACCAGAACGCAAAAATAGTGGCCTGAAGAAGCGGTGGTCGCAACTTCACTCGAATTCGCGAGTGAAAACCTCGCTCCGAAAGAGCGAAGAGGCCGAAAAGAGTGAAGCAAAGGCGAAAAACGCATTGCATGTGTGCGAGCTGCGCTGCCCTCTGTCCGCGTCGACGTCGGCAGCGGCGGCTACTCTTGCAGTTCGCGAAACTCTCTCGCAGAGAGGCCGAAATTTTTCGGCCCAAAGAGAGCGGGCCGCGAAAGGAAAAGGAATAGAACTCGAACTCTGGCCAAGATTGAGTGGATGTCCGCCACGCCGCGAACTATTTCAAGATCAATGTGTTTTTTTTTTTGCAAGTGAGGCAGGCACATTTTCCAGGATTTTTTTTGGGAAATATGTGGTTTTTGGACTTAAGTTTCAGAAATTTGATCTTGCCCATAGCGCTGATTTTTCAAGTTGAATATTTAAAAGTATTTAATTTCGCAATATTACAGGATTTTTTTTTAATAATTTTAGATGTTTTATAAAATTAGCACATTAGTGAGTTTTTTTATATGCTTTAAAAAATATGGAAAATAACATAGTTTTTCCAACATTTTTAAGAATATATTGAAAACTTTTCTAGTTTGAAAAATTATTATTTAAAAAATTATCTTGCGGTATTTAATCGGCTATTTTGTTAATCAAAAGCAAGCGTTATGCAGTTGGCAGTATTATTAAAAACCCTTTCTGAGTTTTATTTACATATATTAAATTTCTAAATACAAATTTCGCAAATATGCATACGTTTTGCTAATTATAATTATTATCTATCAGTTCAGTGCAAAAAATTGTATAAGTAATAAGAAAAATGCCTAGTAAAAGAATAGATTAAAATATATGCAGAAATATATTTGTTTAGAGAAGGAATTCATTAATTGCAACAACTAAAATGCGACAGATAAATACAAAAAGTTTTAAATTCGGTTAACATCGTTTTAGTGTGCAGTAAATTGATCTACACATCTAGCCAAATCTTGATAGCGATTGAAGTAGAATTTTCGTTTAAATATACATATATGTATATGTTCTAAGGTGTAAAATATTGCACACAGATAAGAATTATGTTCCGCTGGCAACAGTCTTAATTAATAAAAACTTGGGAATTGCACAATTCTGTGAAAGAAAGGGAACTATTTTAAATTCTCTTCACAACCAAATTTTCTCCGGCACTAACGAAAAATTAAGACAATTTTATTTATTTTATTTTTTTTTTTTTTTGCAGAACGAAGAGAGAAAGAGAAAGGGGTGTATAGAGTTTTGTGTGGGAAGATCGCACTAAAATAAAATTTGCACTGAATATTTGTTCAACTTTGGCACAGTAAAAAAAAACGTTGAGATGTAATTCGAAACGATTTTCGTAGTTAATTTAAAATATATTTTTGAGTTAATTTTTTTGTGGGAATTTCGGCGCTTTTTTTTCGCGATTTTTTTGCGATTTTTCAGCGCTTTTTGCACTTACACACCAAGCGACGAGGAGCAAACGATACAACCGAATGAACGGACCAACTGGCGACTGCGGCGGGGCAACAACGACAACAACGGCGACGACGTCGACAGCGACGCCGGCAGAGCGCTCCAAACAAAGGCAAACAAAAAAAATTCGCAAAAAAGGAAAATAAAAAATTGGCAACCAAGAAACTACACACACACACCAACACACACAAATGCGAGCTGCATTGGTCAGAGTTTCGCGAAAAACAAGAGAGAGAGAGAGTGAGTGAGAGAGAGATCGCGAATTTTTTGCGAATAAATGTTGCGCGCAACATGTTGCCGAAAGCGAAATGGCCACGCAACGAAGCAAACACACACACACACACGCAGTCACACTCGAAAGAGGAAGAGAGAGTTGCTCTCGCGAATTCTTCGTTTTTGCAAATTCTCTTTTGTTGCGAATTTTTTGTAGCTGCTTTTCGCTCGCTTTTATCAGCGCTCCCGCACACAAATACACCTGCGTCGCCGCTCTCTCTTTCGCTCCCCTCTTCCTACCCTTTCACTCAGCGAGAGATCCGCTTTATTTTATTTCAACTTTTTGCTATTCGCACACATGGAAGCTCGGCGCAAAAAAAAATACATAAATTAAGTGAGCAAAAAAATTACGGGGAAGAAGCAGCACAAGAAGATAACTCAGCAAGCTTTGGGCTTGCAAAAAATAAACAAAATAAAAAAGAAAATAACAAAAAATTAGAAACGAATTGGGTGGAACAAGAATTGATTCGCAACACAAAATGTGCGCGCTTTTTTGAGGAAATAGATGGAAAGGTTCTGCCGAGTGATTAATCACATCTACATACATACATACATACATGCATATGCATGTACATACATATATTTTACCACGATCGCACTTGCAGCTCAGCAAGACAAGTTAGGATCACTGATCAAAGAGCCAGACGAAGTGGCGATCTGCAACTTTTAAAAGTTGTACAAATGTAGAAATGATAGACAACTAATTCTATTTCACTATTCCAGCTGTTGCTTAAATCTCATTATTCTTTTTCCAGAAATAATGTTAAAAACGTAATAATGCATTTATAGGGTTTTTAAATGTGGCACATTTGCACAACGTTTTTCATTTTGTAAAATTCCAAATAATTGCCAAAATCTTCGATGTGGCAACTTGTAACATTTTAAAAGTAGCACAGTGATCTATGCAGTTTTTAACCTTTTTTCTCGGCAACCGATGATCTTTTCTTTGGCTACCCAACAGAGATAAGAATTTGTTGAAATTCGCTAGTTGCCTCAAATCCACCCCACACACTTCTTTGTTTTGTTTTTGTTTCGGTTTTCTTGTGTTTTTTTTTTATATGTTTTTGCACTTTTATCGTTGCTTTTGTTTTTATTTAGAAATTCGTTGTTTGCTCAATAAAATCGAAAATGCGGCGACTCTCGGTCGAAAAAACGCATACGGCGAGTGGGCGGTGCGGGGGTGCAAGGGGTGATTGGTGATTGGGGGTTGGGGGCTGGGTTCCAGGACCTTTCCGTCTGCACGCAGTCGCCACACAAACACCAACGCACACAGACAGTGGAACGTGGAGAGAGAAACACTCAAATAAACTGGTGCCAGACATTGACTCCAAAAAAAAAATGAAAAACCAAAAATAAAATAAAAACGTACAAAAAGGCGACAACAACTCAGCCTATGTTGCACCAACCCACCATCGGCAAAAAAACAAGAAAAGAAGGGGGAAAAAAAGCAAAACAAACGGCCCACAGGACGCAATTTTCCACCCACACAAACAGGACTTCGTCCTTTTTCGTTCGTCCTCGGCGGCTTCGTGTGCTGCTTCTTGTTCATCTATGTAGCTGGCTGCCACATCTTCTTCTTGATATTTTTTTGTGTCTGCTTCTTTTTTGTTGGCCCTGCGTTGCCAAGGGTTTCCTTTGTTCCCTCGACCGCCCAGCCGCCCACTTTGCAGCCCACCCAACCGCCCAACCGCCCAGCCACCCACATCCACTCTAAGCCAAGTCTGTTGCACTCACAAAACGACGAGCACGACCCCAAACAAAAACAGCAACAGAAGCAACAAGAACAACACGAGGCGCACGGATTTCGCAGGACATCGGAGTCTCGAATACCCTTACAACTGAGTGACAAACCTCCAGCGATTCCAGCTTACCCCAAACTTATATGACACCATACATTAAGCTGCGGATAATGCATTTCCTAGAAAATTTGCACGGCATTTTCAAATCTCAGGTAATGGTGCCACACAGTATGCAACACAATTTGTTCAACTCAAAAACTCAAATGTGGAAAACCCATAAATACGTATAAATTTCAGAAATGGGTTAGCACTAGTTGTTCTTTGCTACAATTATTTTGACGTTTATACCTTAAAATCACTTTCGGATAAGTCCAATCCGATCCTAAGCAAATAAGCTGTTTCACAATCCTTTGTGTCTTGAAAATAATAAATCTTATGCCATTTTTATAAATAAGGTTAAAACAACTGGCTCATGCTGAACATAACTGAATGTCATTTGATTAATTTTGAACCTAAGGGTATTCTGATTCTGATTTTTTGCGGATGGACACTTGTAAATTACAACAACAACAACGAGTCTAATGGACACTTTTGCCTCAGTTTTGCTGTTGTTTTTATTTATGCGTGCGTCTCTCAGCCGCCTCCTTTCGCCCACCACGCCCACTTTGGTGTTGCTGCCCTTCGACAGCAACAACACAAGCAACAAACAAAACAGTACAAGAAAAATGTCCAAAAAAATAAAAGAAACGTTAAAAGGAAAGCGGCGCTTCTTTTTGTTTGTGTTTTCGTCATTTTTGTTTTGCTCGTTTTGTTCGTTGCGTTTTTGGGCTCAAGAGTAGGCCTCTCGCCTCCAAAGAAAGAGCACTGCGCTCTCTTAAAATGCATTTGCAAGTGCAGGCGTAAAAGAGGCAGAGCAAATTCTGATTGGAGATGTTGCCAAAGTTTTCCTTTGGCAACATGCTGCTAAAGCGTTTCTTCGACAAGCGGAAAAAAATTGCTAAAAAGGAATTCTACGAATATTTCGATGGAAATGAGGGAAGAACTCGGTTGCTAATTACTAAACAATAATGAGATTTATTTCCCCCAGCTGAAATGCTGTAAAAGTTTTGCGTTTTGAATATTTGCAACAATATAAGTCCCATTTTTTGGGTTAATCGATTACTTGGTACTTTAAGCTTCTGAGTTTTTGTTCAATCAATTGTTGATTTTGGTCCCTATTTAACAAATGGCACATCGTTTTTGATTACAATTTTTTTTTTGTTATAAGGACACTATACACTTATAACCAAGCGGCCATGCAAAATTCGGAAATCGTATTCCACCCCCGAATCGCAGGTCAGGAAAAACAGCTAGTGAACTTCGCCATCTTTTTGTAACTATGGCAGAAAATTGCCGGCCATTAAAATTGGAAAACAATGAATGCTGGTTGAACTGAAACAGCAGGGTTTTGTAATAATACTACTCACCAAATAATATTTCACTGGACATCATTCGATTTAAATGAAGCAAATGTTATGATAAAATTCCATCCAATTTCTTGTATATTTTAATACATTTCGATAAATGTATGTACGAGTATGTACTCGCATAATAATGCAATCGCTCTCCATATCAACGATTTATAATTTGTCGCTTTCCTGGAAAAGACAGGAATATATATTACGTACATACTCGTATATGAATAAATGTTATATATTTACATATGGCTTGTTCTAAAAAGAATGCTAGAATTGTTAAATTTGATGATGAATTTCCGAATGCTGTGTACTCCTTCGCCTCATAACATTGCCATTTAATTTACAACTTGAGAACGGAGTTTCATTTCCATTAGAGCTAATCTTAAGGCGATTATTTTTTTAGCGGATCTTTGATACGACCTTCGGCATTCTTCTAACCCTCCTCTCCTCGTCTTCTCGACACTTTCGTCTCCCCTTTCCCTGCCTCTCGTTCGTAACCATTCCATTGAAGATCAGCTGTAGCGGTACAAACTTGGCCATAAACGAGCGTTGAAATAAAGGAAGGCACTTAAAACAGCTGCAACTCAAGAGCGAATAAAGGTCGCCTCCCCCGCTCCCGCTCCCGCACGCCATTGCGCTCTCGCTCTCTCTCTCTCTTTCTCTCGCTCTTGCATCCCCTCTCGCTCCCACGCACACACTTTCACACACACATGCACTGCGTAGGGAAAAGCAGCGCAGTTGCAGCAGAAAAAAAGAAAAACAGAAAATCAGAAAAACAGACAAGCAGAAAAGAGGCAGGTTGCTCTCTCTCGCTCTCACTTGTGGGCTGGACTACAGTCGTTGTTGTTGTTTTGGCCAGCCTAAAAACGGAGATCGCACGTGTGTGTGTGTGTTTGTTTGTGGCGTGTGTAATGCATATGGCTGACTTGCTGTTGTTGTTTTTGTTGCCCTTTTGCAGTTGCTGTTGTTGTTTCTGCTGTTGCTGTTTGTTTTTATCTCACACTCGACAAACACACACACACACACACACACATGCATCCGGCCTATGCAATCGAGCGAATACGAATGATAAATAGCATGTGTGTGTGCGAGCGAGAGGCTTCGCTTGTTTTTTTTTGTATTTTAGTTTTCTGCCTTCTGCCTTGTGGTTTTTGTTGCTGCTCATTTCGGCTTCTTGTGCGTCCATTGGGCATTGCATTCGATGTGTAGGTGTGAGTGCAAGTCCGCACGTGTTCGTTTGCGTGTGTATGTGTGTGTGTGTGTGCGTTTGGACAGCCTCCCTTTTTAAAAACGCATAAATGTTGATTACAGTAAATTGCTAATTTGTTGTTGTTGTTGCTATCTCGCTTTTTGAGGTTATGTTTGCCCACGAGTTTGATTGGAAGCGTGCCCCGATTCTTGCTAAACTTGTTAAATAGCCAAACTTCTATCACTTTCTAATATGTAATTTGATATCTCAAGATTAACAAAAAACTCTTTTCACGAAGTTAAGAAGAACAAAATACGATATTAATTAGTCATAATATATACATACCTATGTAGTTTAAATAATACTGAAGAAAACGTCATCGCATCTTTATGTTATCTTTGATGAATATTTAAAACAAAATGCATTGTTTTTGAACAACGGTTATAAAGGCCAAAGTAGCAATGACGATTACGCATTAATTTTTGCTAATTCACTTCCCATTGGATTTGTCCCGCCAGTTTTCCAAGCAATGTAAGCAACAGAAAAAAGCTGACTGCTGCAAGACGATGGATTGCTGCGTGCCGAGAAGCTGATTGCTACGAATGCGGTCCCATTTGACAGCCGCTAAGCGCTAGAGTTGTCAACCGAAATTGGTTTTCACTAGGGCGAAAAACAAAAGTACCTGTAATAAGATGAAAGAAAGCGATAAAAAACCAGAAATATATCACACCAATAGTGTAAATAAATGCATTTCTTGAAATCTCAACAAGAAGACATAGCAAACGTGTCGTAAAAAAAAGTGAGTTCAGCCTTAGGCGCTCTGGCAACCCTGCCATTTTGACATTGCCGCTCACACGCACGCCACACAGACGCACGTTAGTCACACCAACGCGCACACACACTGGCGAACGGCTACATTTTTTTTCGAGTGTGTTCGACATTCATAATTTTTGTGGTGGAGCTGCCTGCAAAAATCCAATTTTATCAATTTGCCAACGAAGTATTGGCCATAACTGCATATAAAGTTCACCAATAACTTGGCGCTGTTTCGCTGTGAGTTTGTGTTACATCGAAAGTTGCAACTATTGAGGAAAATCATTGTTTTTGTCCAAAAAAGTTGGAAATGCCCGAAAAAAGACCACAGTGAGAACAACAACAACAACAACAAAAGAAGGCAGGAGCAGCAGCAGAAGAAGAAGCAGAAGCAGCAGATCAAATTTAATATAAAATCGAAGAAGCGCAACAAAAAAAAGCCTTAAAAGTTGATAAACCGAATGTGCGTGCATGTGTGTGTGTGTGTGTGAAAAATAACTGTGGAATTTGCACCAAGTTTTCGCATTTTTTCTTGCTTAGTTAAATTCGCCGAAAAGGCGGCGTTTGCTTTTCTTTTTTTTGGCTCGCCCTCTTTGTCTCACCCATCCGCATATTCTCTTTTCGCCTTTGTCTTTTTCGTGCGCGTTGTCTGCACTTTGTCTGTGTGCGTGCGTGCGTGTCTCGCTGTGGTTGTGTGTGTGTGTAAGCAAAATTTCTGCTTGCAAAAAGGAAAATCTTATTAGATGGTTTTTTTTTAGTTTAATTGCCAACATTATTGATTTTTCAAGCCGCTCACACCGTTTGCCTCTCCACATTTCCCCTCTCCGCTCTGCTTCTTCTTCTTCCGCGGCCTACGTGCATCTGTCACCCAAAAGGGAAATCAATAAGTTTGTAAAACAGCAAAATGCCGCACACTTGCACAAAAACATTATGGTTAAATAATTGTTTTTTTTTTTAATGATTTTGCGTTAATAACGCAATTTCTTTTGTTTGCCTCAAGTGTCTTTCGTTTTTATTGTTGCTTTCTCAATACAATTTTTGGAAACTTCGAGACATCCATTTATTGCCTTCTGTGTCATGTTTATCTGCGTCTTCCTCCTTTCCCCCTTTATTTGACTTGATTTTTCCGTGTGTCTAGGAAATGTAAACAGTTAAAGGAGCCGCAAGGTCACGCTAAAGGGGGTGGCAATGGTGGTTGGGCCATGACTTACACAAGAAGAAATCCATTTTAATTATGTGTTTTCTTTTTGAATTAAAAAAAAAGTGTAATAATAATATGTGTGGTTTAAGTCCAGAATATATTTGCCAATAAGATGAGATTACAATATAGCATAGATCTCCAGGATCTAGTAAATAAAAAAGTCCCTAAAATTGGGCTGCAGACTACTTGTGATCCCTTGCACGCAATTAAGTCTATTTTGTTTTGTTTTTTGCATATTTCAAAATAAATATAGTTAATATTTCATTTACAGAGGAGACATCCAAGCGAAATACTACAATTTAAAAAATACTACAATATCTTTAAAAATAGAATATAATACATTTTGAATTGGTTACTTTTGGCTAGCTCAGTTACACTGTACGAGAGAGACATCTTTGTGGCATGCTAAATTTTGTGGCAAAACTTTCTTGAGGAAAGTGAAAGCCACGTATCAGAGCGAAATCCACCCAACCCTACACACACACGCATCCCCATAAAGAACGACCTTGAGCTGCAAAGGAAAATTCTCTTTGATTTCCGACCCTCTTCCTCAAGAAACTTACAAATGTTACCTTTTCTTTGACTTATATACTTAACCCTAATTAAACAGCTGGACTGGAAGCTGAATTAGTCAAATTAGTAATCGGGTTTTTGTTGAAATCAAGCCGGTTAACATTAGAGGGCTGCTCATTTTAAATCTTAATAAACTTAGAGGATAGTAGATGATACTGAGCAACTACTTCATTGGTTAACATGACTCCAATCTCGTTTGCAGCTCAACGAGAAGCCCCAGACACAATCCGCGTTTCCAGTTCACCGCGTAAAAGGAACAAGAGGAACCAGCTGAACGATGTCGAGCCTGCCACGTCGCATCATCAAGGAGACTCAGCGTTTGATGCAGGAGCCAGTGCCTGGAATCAATGCCATTCCCGATGAGAACAATGCCCGTTACTTCCATGTGATCGTGACCGGACCGAATGATTCGCCCTTCGAGGGCGGCGTGTTCAAGCTGGAGCTGTTCCTACCGGAGGACTATCCAATGTCGGCGCCCAAGGTGCGCTTCATCACGAAGATCTACCATCCGAACATCGATCGATTGGGCCGCATTTGCCTCGATGTGCTTAAGGACAAGTGGAGTCCAGCCCTGCAGATCCGCACCATATTGCTGTCCATTCAGGCACTGCTCAGTGCACCCAATCCCGACGATCCGCTGGCCAACGATGTGGCCGAGTTGTGGAAGGTCAACGAGGCGGAGGCCATTCGCAATGCCCGCGAGTGGACCCAGAAATATGCCGTCGAAGACTGAACGCCCGAGGTCAGGAGGAAAGTCAGAAAGCGGATCCGGCAGTTGTATCGGCGATTTTCCAGAAAGTGGGTGCGTGACATGGACGGGCGGGTGGGGAAATTGCATACTTTAAAAACAACCAGAAAAACCTAAAGCATACGAAAGAAAACATAAAATAAGAAAGCAAGAAAACAAAAAAAAACAAAAACGATTTAAAACACATTTTTTTTCGAACCTTCTGGGGCGGGATATACATACAATATATTAATATATCTATTTTTTTCAACCAATCGATCGGGGCGATCGGCGAAATGGAGGAGAGATAGCGAAAGCATTCTTTATGTAAGTCATATACATGTATCCGAAACAAACAAAAAACGAAAAATGGAAAAAAAAAAAACAAAACAGTAATTGGTTTTAATCGTTTCTATTGATTTGCTCGAGGGGTCTGGTGTCTATATACATATAGCCGTATATATTTCTATGTGTAACTGAATAACCAACCCATAACCATTAACCCATGTAGCATCAGATATTAAACCAATTGGAAAGGCAACTGGAAGGGATTTTGATTTCTCTTAACTTGTACATTCGGTCGAAGTCACTTGAAAACTCCGCTAAAATGTCGATTCAAAATAGAGAGTTTTGATTGTATCATTTTCAATGTTTCAGCAAGTTTTGGATGTGATCGTCCAATTTGTAGACTTTACTTTTCATAATTAAGAGTGTTCACCATTTCGATTGATACTTGAGCTTTGCCTGGGTTGTGTCAGAGTCCCTTTGATAAACGATAGATGGTTTTACTCGAAAACAATTTTTTTAACCAAACAATGAAGCCTTTAAGCTATTAGTAATTTTTGAAAAAATATAAAAAATACAAAAAATATGATACAAGAACAAAATACAATGAATGCATACACTATATATTTATACAAAAAACATAAAAGTAGTGGCTTGATTGCGTGAAAGTTTCAAGAGCAGTTCTCAACAAAAATTGTGTACAGTAATTAAATGTTTGTCACCCAAATCACTAATGGATAATCTGAAAAACAATAGCAACCGAAAAGCAACCATAAATCAAAGAGTAAGCGAGAATAAAAATCAAGAAAATATTCAAATCACTTTTTTTTTTATTTAAATTAATTTTTTTCTAAGAAAAATAAATAAAAGCAAAATAAAAACGAAAAATTTAAATAAAAATTATAAAAAAATAAATCGAGTTGTGTTTTATTTATACGGGTAATTTGAAATATAACTGAATGGTGAGTTACATAAAAGTTAAATGTTTTAAAAATGTGTATTAATTACAAATAGTAAAAATTAACATTTCGGCTTTGGCTACTCTTTATCAAATTATTTTATTAATCTTTATTTATTATTATTTATAAATAACTTTTACATAATATCATTTGAATTAGCTTCAAATTATTTTAGTTATTTATAATAAATTTGAAAATTCGCTGCAATTTCCCCAGTAAAATTGAAAACTTGTGCTTACTTCTCACGACTGCAGTTGTCAATCATTTTGCCCAACTTGGGGCTTTGGAAATGAAATTTTCCTGTCCGCAGGCCTCCCACCAAGTCCGGCTTAACCCTTCGCTGGACCCCGTCCACTGAGGGACCTTCGGGGGTCCGGCGATGTGGGAAAACGCCGTTCAGGTTTTCTCTGTTTTTTATTGTCTTCGCAGCGTGCCAGAGTGTGTGTGCTGGCCACTCCCCCCGAAAATAGCGAACCAGGACGCTTTTCCCGCCTCTGATTGGGTGCTCTTCGCGGGCATATATACGTATATATCTGGTTTCGGCGATTTCGAGGCCCCTGACCAACAACACAGGGCAGTCAAATGTCGAACCTAAAGCAATTTTTTCCCTCTGGTCTTTATTATTTTTCATATATTTTGTTTTTGTAAATTTTTTGCTGTTGTATTTTTGCTGCCGGTGTTGTGTTTTTTGCTTTTTAGTCTGTGTCGATTTTGTTTTTCCGGTAAATGGGCGCCAGTGGGTGGGAATCGGGTGGTTTTTCCGGGATGGAGGCAAACGCATATGCAAAATGCGATATTCCAGTGTCCGTGTGCTGTAGGATTTTTATCGGTAGCTTCATTGTGTGCTTTTCTGGCCCAGGGAAATATGTAGATGGAAAAAAGGCTGATGAAAGGGGCAATGGGGATATTTTCGGGTGGTCAGACCATAACTATGGCCATTAATCGTTGCAAGTGGTGCACCTCTCTACCTTTGTATTTGCCAACTATCAACTGTCTTTTACACTCGCC